GAGCCTGTATAAGAAGCCCATCCGTAAACCCTCTAAAAGCAAAAGTGCGTACATACACAAATATAGCTTACACGAATAAGCTTTACCCAGTATTCTTAAAAAAGGTTGCAAGGACACCCTTTAAACTTTCTGACAACTGAAACCATAAGACAATAAGATGTAAGAACAGAAGTAGGCCATTCCTCCATTTAACGAGATCATGGTTGATTTGTTATCCTGACCTCCAATTCCTGTCTTTTCCCCATAACATTCGCTTCCTTGACTGATTAAAAATCTAAGTCAGCCTTGAATATACTCAACAACCCTGGCTTGACAGCTCTTTATGTAAAGGATTCCACAGATTGACTGCTCTTTGAGAGAACAAAATCCTCCTCATTTCTGTCTAAAATAGCCCCCCTAAGGATCTTATATGCTTCAATTCTCATTCTTCTAAATTCCAGTGAGCACAAGCCTAACCTACTCAATGTCTCTTCATCACAAAATTCTTACATACCCAGAATCAATCTAATGAATCTGCTCAGGACTGCCTCCAATGTTAATATATCTTTCCTTCAATAAGGGGACAAAAACTGTTCACAGCACTCTAGGTGTGTTCTGACCAGTGCCTTGTACATTTTAGTAAGACCCCCTTATTTTTATACTCCATTCCCTTGGAAAAATAGCCCATTAGTCCATTTGTTTTTCTTATGACCCACTGAAATTGGTTGTTAGCTGTTTGTGATTCATGCATGAGGACCCCAGAAACTCTCTGTGCTTTCCCTACTTAAATAATATTTAGCTTATCTGTTCATATATCCTACCAAAGTGCATAATCTCTCAATTTTTCAACATCATTGTCAGTCTGCCAAGCTTTCACCTTCTTAAACTGTCTATATCCCTCTGTAGATTATGCCACCCTTACTACTTGCCTCTCCACTTATTTTTGTATCACTTACAACTGTGGCAACAGTACCTTCGCTTCCTTCATTGAAGTCATGAATATACATTCATAAGTAATTGTGGTCCCAGTACTGATCCAAAAGTTACGTATTGACATCCTAAAAATTCCCTGTTTTATCTCAACTCACAGTCTTCTATTAGTTAGCCAATGCTCCACATATGCTAATATACCACCATGGAGTCTTATTTTATTAAGAAAGTCTTACGTGTGGTTTCTTGTTGAATGCTGTTGGTAATTCAAACATATTATATCTATTGGTCCCTTTTCATCTATCCTGCGAGTTATCTAGAACAAAGAACAAAGAAAATTACAGCACAGGAATGGGCCCTTCGGCCCTCCAAGCCTGCGCCGATCCAGATCCTCTATCTAAACCTGTTGCCTATTTTCCAAGGATCTGTATCCCTCTGCTCCCTGCTCATTCATGTATCTGTCTAGATACATCTTAAATGACACTATCGTGCCCGCCTCGACCACCTCTGCTGGCAACACGTTCCTGGCACCCACCACCCTCTGCGTAAAGAACTTTCCGCGCATATCTCCCTTAACTTTTCCCCTCTCACCTTGAAATCATGACCCCTAGTAATTGAGTCCCCCACTCTGGGAAAAAGCTTCTTGCTATCCACCCTGTCTATTCCTCTCATGATTTTGTAGACCTCAATCAGGTCCCCTCTCAACCTCCATCTTTCTAATGTAAATAATCCTAATCTACTCAACCTCTCTTCATAGCTAGCGCCCTCCATACCAAGCAACATCCTGGTGAACCTCCTCTGCACCCTCGCCAAAGCATCCACATCCTTTTGTTAATGTAACGACCAGAACTGTACACAGTATTCCAAATGTGGGTCAAACCAAAGTCCTATACAACTGCAACATGACCCGCCAATTCTTGTACTCAATACCCCATCCGATCAATGAAAGCATGCCGTATGCCTTCTTGACCACTCTATCGACCTGCGTTGCCACCTTCAGGGTACAATGGACCTCCACACCCAGATCTCTCTGCGCATCAATTTTCCACAGGGCTTTTCCATTTACCATATAGTTCGATCTTGATTTGGATCTTCCAAAATGCATCACCTCGCATTTGCCTGGATTGAACTCCATCTGCCATTTCTCCGCCCAACTCTCCAACCTATCTAGATTCTGCTGCATTCTCCAACAGACCCCTTCACTATCTGCTACTCCTCCAATCTTAGTGTCATCTGCAAACTTGCAAATCTCCTGAAAGAACTGCAATAAATTTATCAGGCATGATTTTCTCCTTGTTTTCACTGTTTAATCTTATTACGTCTAAGGTTTTGGAGTAGATTTGTAGCTCGGGTTGTGGGTGTTGAGGTTGATTGGCTCGCCGAGCTGGTTTGTTGTTCCTCAGACATTTCGTCACTATGCTGGGTAACATCATCAGCGCAGCCTCCGATGAAGCGTCGGTGTGTTTGCCCACCTGGTTTTTAAACTCTGGAGTCCGCTGACCTGGAATGCCTCACTTCCGGTTTTCTTTTGTAGTGGTGTGTATACGGGGTCGAGTTCTGGGTGTTTATTAATGGCTTTATTCATGGAGTGCCAGGCTTCTAGGAATTCCCGTGCCCATCTCTGCTTAGCTTGTCCCAGGATTTTGGTGTTGTCCCAGTCGAATTGGTGGTTCTCCTTATCCATGTGGATTGAGATGAGTGAGTGTTGGTCGTGTCTTTTTGTAGCCAGTTGGTGTTCGTGTACCCTTGTTGTTAGTTTCCTTCCTGTTTGTCCGATGTAGTGTTTCTCACAGTCTCTGCAGGGGACCTTATAGATGACATTGGTCCTGTCCATGGCGGAGAGTGCGCCTTTAGTTCGGGTGAGCAGTTGTCGTCGGATTGATGTGGGCTTGCGTGCCACTCTGATGGCCAGCGGTCGTGCGAGTCTTGTGGTTAGTTCCGATGTGTTCCTGATGGTTTGAAGGGTAGTGTGATGAATGTGTGGGGGCGTGTAGTATTTTCCTGATGTTGTTCGGGTAGGCATCTTCTGACCCAGTTTTTTGGATATCCATTATCCCTTCCTGGTTTCCTAGAAGCCTGGCACTCTACGAAGAAAGCCATTAATAAACACATAGAACTCTACCCCATATACACTCCTCTACGAAGGAAAACCAGAAGTGAGGCAATCCAGCTCAATGGACTCCAGAGTATAAAAACCAGGCAGGAAAACACACCGACGCTTCATCGGAGGCTGCACTGATCATGCTACCCAGCAGGGTAATGAAACGTGTGCAGAACAACAAACCAGCTCGGCGAGCCAACCAACCTCAACAATCTTATTATGTATGTTTATATGTTCCGTTATTACATTCTTTATAACAGACTCTAAGATTTTCCCAATGACAGATGCTAAGCTAACTGATCTATAGTTTACTGTTTTTTTGTCTCCCTTTTTTTTGATTTAAGGTGTTACACTAGCAGTTTTCCAACCCTCTGTGACTTTCCTTGAATCTAAGAATTCTTGAAAGATTACTACCAGTACCACTATCCACGTAGCTACTTCTTTTAAAATCCTAGGATGCAACCTATCAGATCTAAGGGTCTTAATGACCTTTAGCTCCATTAGTTTTCCTCGTACATTCTCCTCCTCCCCCTCCACTTTGTTCCCTAACTACTCAGTATTTTTGCAATGCTGTTAGTGTCTTTTGCCATGAGGACTGGTGTGAAGTACTTATTCAACTCATCTGCCATTTTCTGGTTTTCCATTGTTGTTTTCCCTGCCTTGTTCCCTAAGGCGCATATGTTCACTTTAACCTCTCCATTCTTTGTTATATATTTGAATAAGCTCTTTCTGTCTGTTTTTAAATTACTTGCTTGTTTACTTACATAGTTTATTTTCTCCATCTAATACTTTTGGACATCTTTTGTGACTTTTAAAACTTTCCTAACCCTCTAGTTTACCACTAATGTTTGCCACGTTGTAGGATTTCTCTATCAATTTGGTAAGATCTTTACCTTCCTTGGTTAACCATGGTTAGTTTGTCCACTTCCTAGAGTCCTTTTTCCTCAATGAGAAAAGTCTTGCTGAGACATGAACTAGTCGCTTAAACTTTTAATTTTTTCATCAAACTTATAGGTACTCTTTGGGAACATACAACCACGTAATATGATGTATTCAAGGTATTTCCTACCAGGGCCTCAATGCACTAAATTGTTTCCCTCAAGTATAGCACCACATCCAAAACTATCCAAAATCATGTTGCAAATTCATTCTGCCAGTAATGTAATCTGCCGCCAGATCTGCTGAGCATTTTTTGTTCAGTTTCAATTTTCATTATCCACATTATTTTGATTCTGGAACAATTTAGGTTGACTGCAGAAAATGTAAGAGAACTGGGATATACCTGTTGCCACAAAATTTGAGCTGGTATCAACAATCTGTAAAGCAAATTATATAATCAAATAATAGTGACATATCTATAACCATGGGTTGTTTTCTCAAGATTAAACAGAGCAAGGACTTTCAATGATAAACATTTTTTTCTGGAATGTTAGTTACATCAAAAAATATAAAATTTTGCTGCATGCATATTTATTTACATTATCAAAAACGCTTAGAAAGGCCTCCCTCATAAATGAATCTGATTAATAGGTTAGAGATACGTTCTGTCCAGAAATTGACATTATTACAAATGATGGTCTGTGTCCAAGTGAAAGCAACATTAATTGTCTCATTAATGTTAAACATTCACAGCGCAAAATGTTATGAGTGTAATGTTTTAGGTAATTAGGTATCCATTGAAACGCGTTTCGTTTTCACTGAAAAATTTACAAAACCATCAAAGCCGAGCAAACAGTTGTAATCATGAGGGTGTAATTGAGAGTTAAGCAGTAGATTACAAACGCTCATAAAGATTGGATGCAACACATTGCAACATAACATCTGAAATGAAAAAGAATTAGTCTGACTCCAGACAGCTACAGCTGTATCACTGTCCCTGCTCTGGCCTCTCAGCACCTGCACCATCAGCACCAGTATCCATTGGAGAATACCGGGCCCTTCTCCCACCACTTACAGAATGGTTTCGGTAACCTCGGCCCGATTCCCTTACCTCTTTCTTCTTCTGTCCACCTCCGAACTGAGCATACGACAGGAGGAGAAGCCAGGAGCCGACCGTTACCAGGGGCAGCGGCGCCAACCTCCGACCAGACGCCATTCCGATAACTGGGGCAACGCTGGCTCCGTTCCCCATTGGCTGGGATGGGCTGTGCCGCGCGGCACTCTGGGAGCTGCAGTCCTAGACCAGCAGTTGATCGCAGGAGCAAACTGAGGAGGGAACTACAACACCCAGGGTACATGGGAAGGGGGCAGGGGTGAATCATTAACCAGCTGGTGGCGCTGAGCCGAATCGGACGAGAAGCCCAGTGGAGGAGAGAGATTTGTGTAGATATTTAGTAACAACCTGTTTGGATACGCTTTAGTACACCTCTGGATCAGATGGGACTTGAACCCGGACCTTCTGGCCCAGAGGCAAGATACTACCACTGTGCACAAGACCCTACTCGACAGATACTCTCTTCGACTGAGCAAACATTGGCAGGTGAGCATTCTTGTAATGCGTTGGTAGTGTCCCTACCTCTGGGTTCAAGTCCTACCTGCCTCAGACATAACATAAAGCAAAGAACTGCTGAAATCTGAAACAAAAACCGAAAGTGAACAGGTGAAGGGTCACTGGACTCCAAACATTAACTCTGTTTTTCTCTATACCGATGCTTTCGGACCTGTTGTGTTTATCAAGTACTTTCTGTTTCTGTATCATAACATGCCTGAATACATTGGTTCAAAAATATCTACAAAAAAGGTGATGACAGCAATTCCAGTAAACATCCGAATTTTAAGGCAATGAATTTAACATTGAATGCACGTATTATGGCATTCTTACAAAATAAACTAAGTACTGTACACTGAAGCTCTGCGAAAACCATATACGGTAGTTGCAGCGTTATACTTGTATATTAGTGAGATCGAAACTTACTCGAAAATTTGAAGCATAAAGTGGAAGCAAATCAGCCTTCGAGATTGAAATTAAGGTGAAGATAACAAGTGCGCTTATGATAGGTATGAGGTAGAAAATACAGTGAGAACAAGGAAGAATGCAAAAAGGTCAGAAGCAAGGTGAAAAGCATACTAGAGAAGCAAAGAGGAATTATGAAAAAAGGCTTGCACCCAACATTAAAGTGGTGGGGTAAGTGGATAGGTGTAGGATGAAGTTTAGTGTAGACAAATGTGAAGTGATGCGTTTTGGTCAGAAGAACATGGACAAACAATTTAGAACAGGGGTACAGTTCACATGGGCATTCAGGAGCAAAGAGATCTGGATGTATATGTGCATAGATCAAGTGGCAGGACAAAATTAAGAGAGTAGTTAGTAAAGCGTACAATATCCTGGATTTATTAATAGGAACATAGAATACAACAGTAAAGGCGTTATGCTGAACCTGTATAAGATACTTGTTAGACTTGGATGGAGTATTGTGTACAGTCCCGGATGCCACTTTATTTGAAGGATGTGAAAATATTGCAGAGATTTACAAGAATTTTTTCTCGGAATGAGAAACTTCAGTTATGAGGATACATTGGAGAGACGGAGATTGATCACCTTGGAGAGAGAAAAACCATAAGTGAAGGTCTGATAGAAATATTCAAAATCATAAGGAAGCTGGATATAGAAGATAGGGCTCCTTCTCAAGTGGCTCCCAAATGGCCTCCTGCGTAGGAGCATTTCGATAATTCTTTGATTCCATGATAGGAAGGAAAATATCAATGCATTTTTACCAAATATAGGTGGTTTAAAAAGAATTTTAATACATAAATACTTTTATCCTGTGTAGAGTCATAGATATACACAGCATGGAAACAGACGCTTCAGTCCAACTCGTCCATGTCAATCAGATATACATAAATCTAGTTCCATTTGCCCAGCATTTGGCCTATATCCCTGTAAACCCTTCCCATTCATATACCCATCCAGATGCCTTTTAAATGTTGTAATCGTACCAACCTCCACCACTTCTTCTGGCAGCTCATTCCATACACGCATCACCCTCTGTGTGAAAAAGTTGCCCATAGATCCCTTTTATATATTTCCCCTCACATCTTCAACCTATGCCCTCTGGTTTTTGACTCCCCATTCCTGGTAACCTTGCCTATTTACCCTATCCCTGCCCCTCAGGATTTTATAAATCTCTATAAAGTCACCCCTCAGCCTTCGAAGCTCCAAAGAAAATAGCCCCAGCCTATTCAGCCTCTCCCTATAGCTCAAACCCTCCAACCTTGGCAACATCCTCCTCAATCTTTTCTGAATTCTTTCAAGATTCGCACCATCCTTTCTATAGGAGGGAGACCAGAATTGTACATAATACTCCAAAAGTTGCCTAACCAATGTCCTGTACAACTGAAACATGACTTCCCAACTCCGATACTCAATGCACTGACCAATAAAAACAAGCATGCCAAATGCCTTCTTCAGTATCCTATCAACCTGCGACTGTACTTTCAGGGAACTATGAAACTGAACTCCAAGGTTCTCTTTGTTCAGCAACATTCCCCAGGACATTATCAGTAAGTATATAAGTCCTGCTCTGATTTGCCTTCCCAAAGTGCAGCACCTCTCATTTATCTAAATTAAACTCCATCTGCCACTCCTTGGCCCATTGGTCTATCTGATCAAGATCCCACTGGACTTTGAGGTAACCTTCTTCGTTGTCCACTACACCTCCAATTTTAGTGTCATCTGCAAACTTACTAACCATATCTCCTATGTTCACAATGACAACAAGCAGTGGACTCAGCACTGATTCTTGTGGCACACCACTGGTCACAGGCCTCCAGTTTGAAAAGCAATCCTCCACCACCACCCTCTGTCTTCTACCTTGGTGCCAGTTCTGTATCCAAATAGCTAGTTCTCCCTGTATTCTGTGTGATCTAACCTTGTTAACCAATCTTCCATGAGAAACCTTGTTGAACACTTTACTTAAGTCCATATAGATCACATCTGTGGCTCTGCCCTCATCAATCCTCCTAGTTACTTCTTTAAAAAACTCAATCAAGTTAATGAGGCATGAGTTCCAACGCACAAAGCCATATTGACTATCCTTAATCAGTCCTTGCCTTTCCAAATACATATAAATCCTGTCCCTGAGAATTCCCTCCAACAACTTGCCCACCACCAATGTCAGGCTCACCAGTCTATAGTTCCCTGGCTTTTCCTTACCACCATTCTTAAATAGTGGCACAACATTGGCCAACCTTAAATCTTCTGGCACTCACCTGTGGCTATCAATGATATAAATATCTCAGTAAGGGCGCAGCAATCTCTTCCCTCACTTCCCAGAGAGTTTTAGGGTACACCTGAACAGGTCCTGGGGATTTATCTACCTTTTTGCATTTTAAGACATCCAGCACCTCCTCGCCTGCAATATGAACATTTTTCAAGATGTCGCTATTTATTTCCCCACATTTTCTATCTTCCATATCCTTCTCCACAGTAAACACAGATGAAAAATTTGTTTAGTATGACCCCTATCTCCTGCGGTTCCACACACAGGCATCCTTGCTGATCTTTAAGGGACCCTAGCTGCCCCATTGTCTTCAATGTACTTGTAGAATCCCTTTGGATTCTCCTTAACTTTATTTTCCAAAGCTATTTCATGTCCCATTTTTGCCCTCCTAATTTCCCTCTTAGGTATGCTCCTAATGCCATTATACTCTTCTCGGGATTTACTCAATCTCTGGTGTCTATAACTGACATATGCACCAAAAAAGTAAATTATAACGGTTGCATTTTCCACAAAAGGAAAATACACGTTAAGCAGGCTCTATGTTGATACTAACACACTTTCAGAAATATAGTTAGGGGTGATTTCATGGCAAAAAATCATTTCTCATGTCAATGTTGTATCTTAATTTCGAAAATGCCAATAAAACAATCATGTGTACAAAAGATCTCAGCGTGCTTTAGTTTATTAAAAAACTAAAAGTACAGATTGAAGACAGTAACTTAGAGGCGGAAGTAATGTGCAAGGGAAAATAAATGGGTTTTTTGAAGGCAACTGGAGCAAAGTATAGTCAGGCATTGGCCTAAGGTTCAGCCTCTCATATCAGGAAACAAACCACTGAAGAGTGTAGCAAAGGGATTTGGTAAGCAATACTGATCTACCTAGTGGGAGGTCCTCTGCTCATTTCACCAGGCCTAATGACCTGGTGCTTTCCTCTTCAATTGCTCTGATTAACCTCACATTCTCAACTTCAAGTTGTCTAACATCATGGCACAAATCATCCAGATTTTGGATCATCAGAAACCAGAGGTAAGACTAAAGATGTGTTTCAGCATCTTAAGGAGGTCCTGATTCACAGACCTGTGTGGGAATTGTCCTGTAAGTTATAAGCCTGTAATGAGCAAAACCCTGTATGCGACCCTTCGCAAATTTCTCCATCTCTGATCTAGTATTGGCAATTTGATTCAGATCAATGAGACTTACCTTGATCATTGCCAAGTTTAAAACCTGGTCTAACACTTGAGTAGCTCCAAACCTACACCTCAAATCACACCGATGACACCCTTGGCTTGCAATTAAACAACTCACACAATCAGTACTGACTACTCCTCTGACTCAACAACCCTCTTGCCAAATAACCCAATTACCATTCAATCACCTGTGTACCTCCTCAACCCCTGATTACACCCCAACTACTCCCCAGCCCGACTACCTCCATTAACCAGCTGTGACTACCCCATTGACCATATCCCTGCAAGCAATCATCCCATGACCATCTGACCACTCCCCAACACCCAATGACCACACAACTACTCAATGATGCTTGTCCATCTTGACCTGACTACCCACCTATCCACTTATTCACCTAGCCACTTACCCAACTGCACACACATCCAGAACATTCAGCTGATAATTCAGCATACCACTATGTTGAACATCAATTGTAAGAGTTACCAAGGATGGTAAAGTCACAAAATATATGCTGAGTCAGGGAGTTTAATGTCCATCACTAAGGGTTGCTCAATTATACCACTACTGACTGGGTCAATTGCCGGACTTGGTCTGCAGGAGGTTGTGAGGGAACCAGCATAACAGAAAAAAACCCACTTCACCTTGTCCTCGCAAATCTAACTGCCACAGATGGTTCTGTCCAGGACAATATTGGTTAATTGACCACTGCATAATGTTTATGGAGAA